AAGTTAGATTGAAGAGAAAAGACTGGATTCAAGCCCCAGCTGTGGGACCATGTCGAGTGAGTCACAGCCCAGAAATGTGGTGTCAGGGAGTGAAGCCAGAGGGGAAAATATTTATAACTGCCGGAAACATGATGAACCTGTCAAAAATACATGAAATCAGCTAAATAAATTGAGAAGGAAAAGGCAAGGTCTTGTTTGTTTTTTTTGCGAGTGTCGACGTTAAAAGAAAATCGTCAAGAATGAGAAACGTGATTTCTCTACATACCACTGCCTTGTGTGAGTGATGTTTTGGGGAAACTGAGGAAAGGAGGCTGTGTTCCCTTAGCTGAAGCAGGGCAGGGAGAAGGGATCAGCCCTAGGAAGCAACTAAGCGAGATCACGACTTCAGTGGACCCAAGAGATCAAAGCCAGAGATACCCATGAGACATAAGCTCCCGGGAATTCTCAGAGACCTGGGGCGGTGCTGGCCTTCCCACTGAAGATGGGGAGGAGGGGAGCTGTCTTCTCTCCAATATGTACAGGAGAGCTGAGTCCTAGGAGGGCAGGAGATGCCCCTGAGCTGCTGGGCGAAGCAGGGCCTCTGTCTGCCCCGGGTTCTGGGACGGAGCCCCAGAGAAGCAGGGAGCCTGAGTGGATGCTGTACAGAGGAAAGTTAGGTGAAAAAGGAGCTGTTTCCACCGCAGCAAACACGAGGGCCAGAAAGAATCCTGTTTCGTGGGCAGCCAGAGAAAAGGAAACTGGGACAAAATTGAGAAAGAGGGGTCGTGAACATCTTGGAACCGGATTCAGCCAGTACCCCCGGCCGGTCAACCTGGGGGTCACAGAGACTGGGGAGAGTTGGAGACAGCGGAGGAGAGGATGGGACCGTCCCTGACAGGTCCAATGGGCAGTTAAGGAGCCTGAACTTTGACCCAGAGGAGGGACTTCAGAAATAAACCTGTATCTATCAGCCAAAGGGGAGGAAGGGGACCAGATCAGAGACAGGGAGGCCAGCCAGGAGGCGGCCACACAGCCCCATGAGCTACAATATAGGTGACCTCCTAACATATATTCAGTCACATCATCCTGCTGGTGCCCAGGAGGCTGGCCTGAGAGTGTTCCCGCCTGTAACTTACTCCAGGGAGGCCAGGGGACCAGAATGCAAAGAGAGCGCATCTCTTCAATTGATTAATAGTGACTGCCTAGAGCACTATCATGAACTCAGGCAACTTCGGGGCCCAGGACAAAGGGAGCCAGCATTGATTAGTGATGTCTGAGCGGGGCATAAGGGGATGTGGCAGTGTTCATTCACTTATGCAAACACACATACTCAAACAAATGTTTATTCAGCATTTACTACAGTTAGGCACATGCATACGAAGCTATCCTCTTTGCAGGAGCTCAGTTCTCGAAGGTTCAGCCACAGAAAGAGGGAAAAGCCCCGAGCCCAGGCTCCATTCTGCTCTGGACCGGCTCCCTTGGAGCCTCTTCAAGGCCTTGGAAAGGCCTGTGTCCTCTTCTCTTGGGGTCTTGAACAAATTAGCTGCTTGGTAGTTATTTGTGGAAGAAGGAAAATAAGTAGATTACCATATTTTCCAATTTTTATTCATTTACTCAACAAAGAAACCCACATAAACATTTTGAAGGCCTTTTCAAGGTTTTGGAGATGAATTAGACCCAAGCTTTGCCTTCTAGGAATTCATAGCTCCACCTGGAGATTAGATAGGTGCCAGAAATCTGTAAAACAAAGTTGTTATTTATAAATCCAAGTTCCTTGGGGTGCCTGGCTTCAGGAGGCAGACGTAGCTTGTCTGGCGTCCAGGGGACCAGAGGGGAAGTAGATGGGAAGGTGAAAACCCGTGGGGCAAAGGGTGAGGCATGCGCCCCTCCTGCACCCCACCCCCGTGCCCCACAGGCAGGGCCCCATCCGCACCTCCCTGTCCTCCTGGAGCCTAGAAACAAAGCAGCTGTTCAGGTGAGGTGGCCGCAAAGGTCGGAGTGAGACAGGCAATACGAATCCACTTGAAGGAAACACTTGGAGATGTCGGAATCTTGCTCTGAAAAGGCCAGCCCTTTGTCACCTGGGCTGCTGGCAACGACCCCTTTGTAGTTCAGGAGGCCCCATGGAAGGAAGGAGGCAAGTGCAGCCCCTGCTCAGGGCCCCGCAGGCCTCCCGTGCTGCCCACAGCATGGCGCCTGTCTCAGCTAATCAGCTGCACCCTCGCCTCTGCCCTGGGTTGCAGGCATACAGGGACTCTGTCTGCACCTCCAGCTCCCTACAGCGTCCCTGCTCCTGGCTGTGCTGCCTAGCTCCCCACCCCTGGGACCTGCCCACTCCTGCTCCCCACTGGCTTGTGAGAAAGGTGAGATGGGGGTGGAGAGGGATAATTGGGAAAAGAAATAGGACAGCACAGGGCCTTGGAGGACATGGTGAGGTGGAGAGAGCAAAGGAGGAGGTCCCAGAGACAGGAGAGACTATGCTGTGGGGAGACAGAATCCAACGGGGCCCGGGCCGAGCTGTGAGCCCAGAAAGGGGCCCAGGGACTTGTGGAAGCCCCTCCCAGAACTTAAGCCTCTCTTCTGGGAGGGTCCGATGCCAGGAGCAGGAGGCAGTGCAGCCCGTGTGCAGTGTTGGGAGAGTCTTAGGCTGGGCCTGCACGCTGAGAGAGCTCCGGCTCCTGGGGCCCTCCGTTGTCCTTCTGTCCTGTGGAAAGCAGGAAGCGTGCATGCTGCAGGAACCAGACGCACATGGAGGGACACACACCGACAGAGTGTACACACTCACACAGGTCCCCTGCATCTCTAGAGAGGGGTCCCTCATACCTCTGTGTCTGGTGGCTGATGAGCCATCACCGACACACGGGGCCAAGACCCAGAGCAAACAGCGAAGTAAAGAGGGTGTGCCACAGACAAGTCTGCCGGCAGCTCTGGACCACAGACTCTCGAGGGACGGGGACGTCCTCCCAAGGCCCCCAAAGGGGGGCTCCTCAGCAGGGTGACATTGGTGAGGGTCTTCCTGCTTACATAAAACTGTCTGGAAGACTGCCGATGAAATGTGAATCTATCTGAAATGGAGTTCCCTTACCTGGGAATGTACGCGAGTGTGAATCTGGGTGTGCATGTGCACACAAGAAGGAGTGTATGTGTGTATGTGTGTGTGCACAAGAACACAAGCTGCTGTACTGGGAAAGAAGCTGGAAAAGGAAAGAAAAGCATGGACTTTTAATCATTCACACACCCACACACACGCATCCATCCACATTTTTGGCACAGACTGCACCCCCTATCAGTGAGTGTAAATCACTTTTTTGGTCAGAGAGCTGAGCCCACTTAAACCAGTGGCTCTCAAACTTGCTGCACGTTAGAATCATTTGGGGAGCTTTCAAAAGTCCCAATGCCCAGGCTACACTCCAGACCAGCACATCAGAATTTCTGGAGATGGGACTCCGGCATTAATACTTGATATCAATATTTAATAATCTCCTCAGAGATTCCAACGTCCTTGCCAGGGCTAAGTGTCCGTGTGCGTAGAAAGCTGTTCTTCCATTCCTCTGCACAGAAAGCTTCTATTCATCCCTCAAGACCCAAGTCACACGGCTTCTTTCTAGGAAAACCCTGATACCTCTTCAGGTGAGCTAGTTGTCTCTTTCCTGAAGCTTTCAACAACATGTTAGTCATCTGACTGTATAACAATTATTTGCTTGTCTGTTGGTCTGTCCCACCTACTGTTCAGAACTATGAGCTCTGTGAAGACAGCTGCTCCGTGGGCTCCATCTCTCTAGTCCCAATACCCAGCCGGTGTCTGACATGCAGCTGATGATCAATAGATGCTTCAGAATGAAAGGGAATCTGTAGTGAAGGCCATGAGCAGAAAGGGGCGGGAAGTGAGGGCCTGCATTGTTTCCGGGTGGTGAGGGCATTGGTCTGGTCCCCTGGCAGCAGGATGGGGGTACTCCCCCGACCCTTTAGTGACAGAAAGGGTCCTCTTATGTCAACAAGTTTGACTGATGCGGGTTGGTCCACATTTCCTGCTTCCTCAGGAAGTGCCACCAAAGTCACTCAAAAGTCCAGAGGGACAACTGAGTGGGGCTGTGACCTGTGCCCGGACTCCCTGGGTGACTGACCCTTCCTACCTGTCCCCTCTCAGCCCCCATTCCAAGCCCACTCGGTCCGTCCTGCTTCCAGACAGCTTTGCTCTGAGGAGCGCTCGGAGCAGTCTGGGTCCCCTGCCTTTCTGCTGATCCAGGACCAGCCCACACACCTTGGTCCTTGGCAAGGGCCATGCCTGGGAAGCCCCAGTGCAGGAGGAGGAGGCTCCTACAGCCAGCTCAGCCTTCAGACACTCCAGCCCCCGCCCAGGAGCCAGAGCAGCAGACAAGAAGGCGACCAGGGGCAGAACCAAGGGATGGATGTCCATCCTGCACGGGTGCAGCCTTCTTTCCTCATCACCTCCTCTCTCCGTGGGCAGCCCTGCCTCTCCTACGCAGCCCTTCCCCACTGACATTCCTTTCCTAGTTCTTATTGCCCCTCCCCATCCCCAACGGGCCTCTACTGTCCCCATCTTAGGCCCCCCGAGGTGAAGTGATGTGAAAAGGCCACACAAACGTCCGGCTGGGACTGGACTACGGGGTTAGAAAGGGGTTAAGAGCAGAGGATTTAAAGTGAGGCCGTGTGATTTGAGAACTGGCTCTGTCACTGACTGGCTCTGTCTTCTTGGGGCCTCAGTTTCCTCATCTGTAAACTGGGATCACAAATATAGCCCCTCACCTCATAAACTCGTGGTGCAGATTAAGTGAGGTACCAAGTGGAAGAGCTCCTCACAGGCCTCCTGGTCACTAGTCCAGCCTGAGGCCATGGTGGGGCCCCCTCACCCACCCCACACAGACACACGCACTCCCACAGCCCACTTCTTGGAGGGCTCTCAGCCTCCAGGCAGAGCCCAACCTCTCCCCTCCCCCACAACCCCCTCAGTGACCGGCCCAAGTCCTGGTCACCCACAGAGTCCACTCAACACAGGCAAGTGATTTCTTTACACGTTGGGGCTTTTACTTCAATTTGAAGCAGATGGTTGAGCACAGATGTGAACAGCTTTGGCCTTTTGAGCACAAGGAAGGAGCAGGCCTTGGCTTTGAACATGTCCCCCTTCCCCACAGACTGGCCCATTCCCCTGGTCCCTTCCCCACCTCTGTCCCCATGCACAACCTGTAACAGACCACTGGTCCCCAGGCCGGGCACCATCTCGTTTGCCCAGCCAGGAGGGCAGGCCCCCGGCAAGGAGTGGCTGGTTGGGCTGGCTAAGCGAGCAAAGACCCTTAGGCAGGTCACCCTGGGGCAAGTCCTGGGGGTGGGGTACAGGTGGTCAATATTGCTTCTTTCCCTCCTTACTCCCTTCCCATGATGCTCAGGGCCCAAGAAGGAGCCTGGGCCCAGGGGACACTGAGAATCAGGGTCAGAGGCCTGGGCAGCCAGTGGGAGGGACAGAATGGGCTGGGATCTCAGATCCACTCCCTCCAGGCACCCCCACCCTGCCCCTCACAGCCTCCAGAAGGCTTATCTTGCACCCAGCGGGCTCAGGGCCCAGTGTAGAAAGAGAGTTTCGGGTCAGAGGGTCAAGCGCTTCCAATGGTCGCCAAGTGTCCATCCCTTCCATGAGTCCCTAGTGGAACCGCTGACTCGTCTTTGGCTTGAGATGGGACTCGGGCAACAGGAGAAGCAAAAGTCACAGAGCAACCGTGTGGCTTTTCACTGTGGGGTTTTCTCACCACATTTTGTTCAGTGTCTGTCGAATCTTTGGCAATGAATCTCTGCAGCCAGACGGTGGGCCTCAGGCCCCGGGCGGGGGGAAGGCTGAGCTCTCCCCTCCCCACCAGGTAGAGGGCAAAGTGCGAGGTCACCGCAGAGAGGCCGGGGGAGGGCAGAGGGTGAGAGGGAGGCGGGCGTGCTCCTGTTCGACCCTGAGAGGCGGCGGTCTGAGCGTCTCATGGCATCTTGGAGAGGAAGGTGAGGCTGGACTGGTGAGCTCACCTCCTCAGGCTTGACTGGAAAGAGGGCCCACAGCAGTGTCCTTGGTCTAGCCCAGGGCCAGTCACTCCTGAAAGAAATAATCAACCATCAGAATCAGCCCCTCCTCATCCTAGCTCCTGTTTCTGGAAGGCCCGAACTGTACAAGTGCTTGCATCCCCAGCACCTCCTCTCATGTAATGCTCGCAGCTGCCCTGGGAGGGACTTGCATGGCCCAGGCAGGGAACAGCATCTTGAGGGGTTCAGTAAGTGGCAGAGCCAGCATTTGGACCCAAGACTGACTGCCTCCTGAGCTCACATCATCTGGTTCCTCTCCCCTCTGCATTTCAGAGCTACTGCTGATTTTGTTGGTTTGGGGGATGGGCTGGACCACAGGGGGTGGGGGGAGGGGCACTCAGGGACAGCCAGTGCTGATACCACAATCCCCTGTCACCCCTCTGAGGGATGTCAGAGTTAGTCCTGCGCTCTACGGGAACAGCCAACCACAGCTCCCTTTCCCCTACACTGTTTAGACAAGAGTACTACACCAGGAGTCAGGAGACCAACTCTAGTTGCAGCCCATCCACCCGCCAGCTGGGTGACCTGAGACAAGTCATTTAACTTCCTGTCCTCCATGTCCTCATCTGTAAAATGACACAGCTGGAGTGGGTTAATAATTTTAAAACTTTCCTTTGAGCAGTAGAAATGAAGTCTGACCTGTGGAATCCTAAAACAGAAAACAGATAAACATAGGATCTTTTTGGACACCATGTCTTCGCGGACAAGGGAAACAATAGAAAGAATAAACAAGTGGGATTTTATCAGACTAAAGAGCTTCTACACGGCAAGGAAAAACAGGATTGAAATGAAAAGACAACCCACCAACTGGGAAAAAACATTTGCAAATCATATATCCAACAAAGGGTTAATCTCCATAATATATAAAGAACTCACACAACTCAACAACAAAAAATCAAACAACCCGATCAAAAACTGGGCAGGGGATATAAACAGACACTCCTCCAAAGAAGATATACAGATGGCCAACAGGCACATGAAAAGATGCTCATCATCACTAATTATCAGGGAAATGCAAATCAAAACTACACTAACATATCACCTTATACCTGTTAGAATGGCTAAAATAACCAAGACAAAAAATTACAAATGTTGGAGAGGTTGTGGAGAAAAAGGAACCCTCATACACTGCTGGTGGGAATGCAGACTGGTGCAGCCACTATAGAAAACAATATGGAGGTTTCTCAAAAAATTAAAAATAGAAATACCATATGACCCCACTATTGCACTACTGGGTATCTATCTAAAGAACTTGAAATTAGCAATTCAAAGAGACCCATGCACCCCTATGTTCATTACAGCAGCATTATTTACAATAGCCAAGACTTGGAAGCAATCCAAGTGCCCATAGATTGATGAATGGATAAAGAAGATGTGGTATATATATACAATGGAATACTACTCAGCCATAAAAAAGACAAAATTGTCCCATTCACAACCACATGGATGGACCTGGAGGGTATTATGTTAAGTGAAATAAGCCAGACAGAGAAACATAAACTCTGTATGATTCCACTCACATGTGGAAGATAAACAAACACACAGACAAAGAGAACAGATTAGTGGTTACTGGGGGAAGGGGGTGGGGGTGGGCACAAAGGTGAAGGGGCGTCCCTATAAGATGACTGACAAATAATAACGTGCAACTGAAATTTCACAATGCTGTAAACTACCATAACCTCAATTAAAAAAAAACAGATAAACATAGTTCTGGTCTATGTGGAGCAGCGGGGCAGGGGGGACATGGTGGGGGAGACCCCGAGTCCTATTGCATCCCCTCCAGCACGGAGCCTGGGGCACCTCTGAGAACCCAGGGTGCCAAGGAGCACAGTGTGAAAACCACTAGGTTAGACCATCTTTACGCTCCTCACAGTCCTGACCTTCAGATCGTCCTCTGGCAGCTGAACTTGGTGTTGCTCGAGAGAGAAACTGACCGGAGCGGGTGACTTGCTACCGGGAAGGGACAGGAGAGGGGAGCGGTCATGGGGGCTGCTGGGACTTTAGCTTTAGGGGGAGGTCAGGGCTGGTGGGGAGGCTCTGAGAAGGTTCCCAGTCTACCCAGAAACACGCAAAAGAATAACAGCGATCCCTTAACCCCGCACAGCACTCTCCTAAAAATGCAGCTCTGCATACTTCTCTTTCTCTTCTTACAACAACCTGAACAAACAGCTAAGTACTTATTTTTGAGGCAAAACATCTGTCAGGCATCTCCACATGCCAGGCAGCTTTCTCACAGCCCTGTCTCAGAGGTGAGCGATCCCCTGCCCAGAGAAGGAAGCGCCACAAGTTGGCAGCACCAGGATTTGAATCCAGACCGGCAATGTTGCTTCTACCACACAGAGGCTGCTCCTGCTGAAATGGAGGCTCAGGGAGCTGGGACGGAGCCAAACCACGAGGCTGGAGGGCCCGCTAACCACAGGCCCTGGTGAGCTTCTAGGCCTTGGGGCGGCAGCTGGGCAGGCAGCCAAGGTGAGAGGCTGGGGCAAGGCTGGAGGTGGGGTCCAAGGAGGGCGAGGGAGCCGGGCCAGGAGAAGGGAGCATCCTCCAGCTAATAGAGGCTAAGAAGGGAGAAACGAAAAGTGGGAGGAGGGAGCATCTTGATGTGGTGAGTCCGGGCGCACATTCTCCGAGCCCACGGTGCAGTGCGTGGCTGGCCCCAGCAGGAATCTGCTTTTTGTTACCAAGTCTGAGGAGGAGGATTAAGAAGCGGAAAGGAAGCCCGTGGGGATGGCACTGGGTCTGTGGTCCATGGGGTGATTTACAGCCCACGTCATCCCGGCGCTGGCTGCCTGGGCGGGCCCTGCGGAGGAGTGGGCCTGGAGTCCTTGTGCAGTCTGCCTGTGGTCTGGGGGAAGGCGTGGAAGGCTGGGTCGGCTGGAGCCGTCCCACTGGCTACCCCGTAAAGGCAGCCAGCCTAGCCCCCAACCTTCTATTAGCTCTCAGACTCTGCTGAACATGGCTGCCACCCACGAGAAAGGAGACGAGGTTTCTCTCACCAAGGCCTGACCTTTCACTCTTGAACCCACGTTTTCCCTGGTGTCTACACAAGATCTGCATTCCCACCACCCACCTCGACCTAGGAATCCTAGCACATACAACACCGTCCAAGGAAGCCTTATGTCCATTGAGCGTGGTGGGAAGAACACTGGGAGGCCTTAGGTGCCAAGACCTTCTCTGTGATTAAGCAGCTGTGTGACCTTGGGGAACTCATTCTCCCTCTCTGTGCTTTAATTCCTTTACTTGCACAGCAAGGGGATTAGCACTCTCCAAAGGGTATTCTGCCGAATACTAGCCAGGTGAGGTATATCCAGTGAGTCTGGGAAACACCACAGACTTTGGCCCCATCTTAGAAAGTCACTATGTATATTAGCATATCAAAGGCTCTGAAAAGTCCTGCAGGAAAGAAATTCGTGTGGCTTTATTTACCCAGTGTTTTCCCAACTCATTTGATCATGTGATTGCGACTGCATTCTGAGGAATAGAAACTCACTCCAGCTTCCAGTAAAGGGAAGCTCATTTAAGGCTACAAAAGAGCATTTCACAGAGGCCGGGGAAAGTGTCAGGAAAGGCAGCAAAGGTCCTGAAAACCTCAGTAGGGGCAATCTGCGGCCCTGCCCTCCAGATGCGCCCCCCAAAAACAGCACTCGGCCACTTTCAGGTCTCTGCTGCTTTCCTGCCTGCCTACCAGCAGCCGGGTCTCAGCATCCCAACCCCACGCGCCCAGCGGAGGTAGCCAATTGGTCCAGCTTCAGTCAGATTTCTTTCCCTGGACCAATATTAGCCGTGGCTGAGGGACAGGAGACAAACCTGTCGATGCTACCACTTCAGAAGGCACTGTGTGCGTGCGTGTGTGTGTGTGTGTGTGTGTGTGTGTGTGTGCGCGCGCATGTGCATAACTGCAAATACAGGGGAGGAGGCTGGCAAGTACCTCCCCTGTGACAACCACACCACAAACCCCTTGTCATCCTTGTCATGTAAACTGGCAATATCCTGCATCGCTCCCTGTGAGAAGCCCAGTCAAGAGGCCCTCTCGCAACAGCCCCACCCCCCAGCCTTTTGTGGGTGGCGTTTCCGCTGTGGGCCAAGGCTCTGGGTACACCTGGGTGAGGCTCTTGGTTCACTGTCCTAAGAAGCCCCCCGTGTCCCAGCCCCTCACCACAGAAGATGCCCTTTAACACTGTCCCGCTGCTAACATAAACTTTGAAAACAACTGGACAAGAAGGCCTCTCCCGTCCCTTCCCTGTCATCCGACGCGCTGAGTCTGATCGAGGGGACTTGGTCAGTGTGGCAAAGTGGTTGAGCTGATCACGTTCAGAAATCACCTTTTTATCGGTTCCCTTGTTTGTGGTCAGAAGCTCAGCCCCACGAGGACAGGGACGTGGTCTGCTTTGGTCCCTGCTGTAGCCCCAGTGCCCAGAACAGAGCCCGGCACATGGGAGCATCTCCATAAGGACTTGTTGAGCGAGTGAATAAATATTTCCATTTTCTTTTCTGTAGCTTCCATCTACCATGGGATCCGTTTCCTATTTCAAATGGACCACTGAGCACTTCTGTCAACGTGCCTCCGCATTAGGGGACTTTTTGGTAATTGTTGTGAACCCTGGAACAAGTCTGGATCTTTTCTGCTCTCGTTCACTTCCAGTTATTTTATTCCTAATTATCCTCCTCTGCTTACGAGGCCCGTCTCTGGCTTTAAGTGCACTGGTCTCCTCTCTCCATCACTTCTGTGTGCTGCAGGGTAATTTTAACACTTTGGGGGCATTTAAAAAATGATGATATCTGCCTGCTAAGTTATTTTACTTTTTAAATTCATTTTCAGTCTCTGACGTCCACATGACCTATCTAATCATTTTTCACTATCTTCAAATTATACATTTTTCTATATTTAAGCAATTTGGATACAGGCTTCTACCTGCAAAAAAAAAGATGTGCAAAGGGATTGAAATCCTGACAGTTGTTTTTGTTTTTGTTTTTTACTGGTTTGTCCTAAAAAGAACAGTCAAATTTCAAAAG